ATATTTTTGTTTTATATAAAAAAATTATTCTTTATTTTTTTTTTGTTAGAGAATTAAATTTCGTTTTATTATTAATTTTGATTGAATTGTTGTTATATATTATAACAAAATATACGTAAAAAATATATTTCTCTGTATTTATATTCACACATATTTTCTGTGCAACATCTTATAATGTCAAACTGTCATAAGTAATTTTGAGTCATATGAGAAAAGCACGAATATTCACACGAAATTATTTAGATAAAAAATAGCTATAAATGCATCTAACCTTACCTGATTCAAGTGTACATAACGACATAAATAATTCAGAGGGCGTTATATATGCTTATGGCGGATTTACACTGCAATCTTTGACTGCAACCGACTTTTCTAGATAGATGCGATATCCAATAAGAGACTTTGTGTCCTAGGAACTGTAATAGTAATATATTTCTTCCTATAAAACATAGTTTGCTATTGGATATCGGCAGTTTGTATTCACGAAAAAAATATCGATACTAACTTGTGCGATATTTGATATTGGTCTAAAGTCTAAAATGATTATTTACATTAGCGGAGTCAAGCGGAGTTTTCTTTTAGCGGTATTTGGAAATTGATTTATACAGAACAACGGCTGTTGTAAAGAATATTCTTAAATAAATATAAAAACGAAGCTATATCGATAATTCACGTTGTACAATTGATTTCAATTTATCGAAGAAAGTGTCAAGCAATTTGTGTAAATATGCCGTAGATCACGAAACTTATCGTGTGTATGTAAACGTGCATATAAGGAAACAATTTGCAATATAAATAATTAATAGATATGTGGTATTTTGTATGATGTAATAAAATAAAACGATGAATCCGATGAAAAGTAACGGTGAAAGTGGTAATGGACTGGAGGATCTTGGTATACCTGGGCCAGTGTTTTTAAGAGATGCTTTAACAAGTTGTACAGATCCTCTGAAAGCCATCGAGGAATTTCAAGTAAGTAGTCAAAAATTTTGTAATCTAGTATAATATATAATACGTTAAATTAATTATTGTCTTAAATGTATTAATTATCTTAAAAATATGCATATTTCGCACACAGTGGTAATAGCTATCATATTTCAGCTAGAAAATGGCATATTATTACCATCGTTGAGACCTATGTTACCTCTGCTTGATTTACATGGAGTTAGAAGATTAGATTTTCATGCTTCTGTTCTTGAAGAGTTACGGGAAAAACTGATTAAACAAATTAATGAAATTGGTATGGAAAGAGCCGATAAAAGTTCCTCTGATAGAAGATTGAAGGAATTACTATCTAAAAGTTTTCCTGCTGTGAGAGTCACTGGTTTGCGACCTGTTGTTATGTGTATCTTAAGAAATACTCCGCATATTGAAGAGAAATATTTGCGAGTATTAGTTGGGGAGAAGGAACTGTATAATGATGCCGATACAGAAGTAAAACGCCAAATATGGAAAGATAATCAAAGTCTTTTTGGAGATGAAGTTTCTCCATTATTTAGTCGTTATATTATTGAAAAAGAACAGATTTTATTTGATCATCGTAACTTGAACAGTCTATTTTTTACACCATCTCCCAAGGTATATAGATCATAATTAATTATAAATTTGTGAGCCATACATTTATCGACTATTTCTCTTGTTTTGTATAGGTGAGGAGGCAGGGAGAAGTTGTACAAAAGTTAGCCCACATGATTGGGCATAGTGTAAAATTATATGACATGGTATTGCAATTTTTGAGGACTTTGTTTCTACGTACTAAAAACATTCATTATTGTACTCTAAGAGCGGAACTACTCATGGCATTACATGATTTAGAGGTAAATATATCTAGTATATATTATTGTTAATTAGTTCTTCATATCTTATTATTAGTAAATTCTAATGATATATATATAACAAACCATTGTGTTACTTTAATTTTGTTGAATACAATATTTGTTACTAGGTGCAAGATATTATTTCTGTAGATCCTTGTCACAAGTTTACTTGGTGTCTGGATGCGTGCATTAGAGAAAAGAATGTGGATGTTAAAAGATCTCGTGAGTTGCAAGGCTTCCTAGATAGTATTAAGGTAAAAAATTAAAATATAAACTTGTGTTTTAATATTATTTGTTAGATTAGAAAAATGATATGATGTATAATTGTTTATAGAGAGGACAGGAGCAGGTGTTGGGGGATCTAAGTATGACTTTGTGTGATCCCTATGCGGTAAATTTTCTTGCTAGCAGTGCAATCAAAATAGCTCTTCATTTGATAAATAGCGAGGCGTTACCTAGAGAAAATGCAGTGCTAGTATTATTATTGAGAATGCTTGCACTAGGATTGTCCGCTTGGCAGATGATCGATTCGCAAGATTTTAAGGAGCCAAAATTGGACATTCAAGTTGTTACAAAGTTTCTGCCAGCACTTATGTCACTTATGGTAATTTTATGAAATAATTAATTAAAAAACTTCTGTAAAAAATTAGAGTTTATAACTTTTATATGGGATATATATGTACAAATATATGTACAAATAATATAATTAATTTTTAGGTTGATGATCAAATAAGACAATTGAATTGTAAACTTCCACCTGATGAAAGAGAAAGTGCTATCGCTATTATCGAGCATTCTGGGCCACCTCCTGATGCATGCCAAGCATATGCTCAGTTGTCTGGAGTAGCAGCAGTTCTATCAATGTACTATGCATTACATGTTGGAGGGGGTGGTGGAGTTGGAAGAGGTAGAGGAGATGCTAGAGGTTTAATGAGAGTGTTAGCAACACTTCCAAACTGTCAAGCACAACGAGCTTTTGAAGATCCATTTTTGCACACATTGGTAACATATTTTAACTATATACCTATATTTTATATGCAATTATTATGGAAAGAAAGGATTTCTCACACAGTTTGTCACTGTTATTTGAAATGCTGAAATTCATTTGCAAACTGTTATACTAACAATTTGTTACATTAACATTTGTTATACTAACAAATTAATTTTTAATTACAGGTTTCATTATTAATACTAAATATGGCCGATGAATTCTCAAATGAGTCCTTCTGTACAGTAATTTTCGATGAATTTTTCCTGGCTGGTTTAGGTAGAGATAATGTTACACGGCACCTGTTGAAATTACTTTGGTATATACATCCTAAATTGCCATCTGCACGCTTACATTCATTATTGAAAGCCTTGCAACCAACGAGTCAGGTAATATATTTTGGAATATTTAAAAATAGTTTATGTTAATTGTTATATGTGCATTCATATATTATGTAGTAAAAAATCTTGTATATTGTTAATTAAAAATCTTAAATTTTTGTAGCATAATGAAGCAGTCCACAATCTTTATGAATCTTTACGTGATAAAGTTGGTAGTCATTCTACAGAAGATCAATTAGCATCAACAGCTCAAATAGACACATTAGGTCTTGATTGTTCTTCCCCTGCTCTTACTGGATTACCAACACCAACATCGAGTACATGTTCACTTTAGGAATATGTCTATAATTCATCTATATATATATATAGATATATATATTCTCTTTAATCTATATATATAATATATCTCTATATATATATATAATCTATATATATATATAGATATATATATTCTCTTTAATCTTTTATTGTAAATACATCTACCAAATTATGGAAAAATTTTTTAATGGTTATTTTGTAATAATGGAACATACTATATTATTAAAGTGATTCTAACATTATAATAGGCAATATATTATTATATACAATAACTAATTGAACTTTTTGAAATGTATTTTATATCAGATTAAAAATGTAAGGAGATAGATAATAAAGTTAAAAAATTATAAAACTAATTTATATAAAGTTATTTTATACAAGGTTTTCAATTAACATTGTTTATTATCTTATTTAGATGTATTTACAGTATTTGTTATTTCCATTATGAGTCTGTCCAAATAGTTGGAATCCAATTTATACGTCATAAGAATCATTGATGTATACATTGAGGCTTGTTTAGATTGGAGCAATGATTGTAATTGTACGTCAATTAAACTTAATCTGAAATTATATGCATTTTCAAAATTTTGCCTTTATATAAGTTAAACTTTGTAATTATACTCTTACATTTTAATCATGATAAGCCCCACAAGTGTCCATTCAGCACTTTTAAAAACAATGTTTGCAGCAGATAAATTAAAAGTGCTAATCAACATTTTGATTAATGAGTATCTCTCATGATCATAAGTACATTGTGCCATTGAAGAAGTATCCACATTGGTCGTTAAAGTACGCATTAAATCTGGTAATCTGTAATCGACAAATACACAAGTGATTCATTTGCTAAGTAACAATGATTAAAGCACAGATATTAAGCTTTTTTTAGCATGCGACAATTTCTAATTGTATCGAAATAGAGACTATTACATTTTATTAAGTTTGTCCAAGAAAATTCGGCGGCGAAGTGCATTGGGAGTGTGAGCATCCGTTAATGGTAATACAGAATCGTCATCGTCTTTACTATTTGACTCCTTGTCATTATCTTCAGGCGATGTTATTGTCAGTCGTCCCTCATAAAATGCACGCACCTATGCACATATTACAACCGATTATTTTTGATATATCCTGTTTGATTAAAATTGAGAAAATTGATTGTACCTTCAAATCGATTTTCTTTCCCTCCTCTTGAAGTACAGAGAAGTGAGGCAAAGGTTTGAGCACGTTTCTCTCTAAGTTGACACGCTCTTCTTTTTCATCTTCTAGCTGCAATTTATTTAATTTTTTGCACAGTTGTTGGTATCTATCATGGTGCATAAGACTTTCTAATAACTGGCGTTTCTCATCCATCTCACCCATTAAAAGGGAAAGTGTATTTTCTGTAACCCATTCTTTAACACTTTGTTCAACATGTATTATAAGTTTGTGATAAATATTAGCTTGTATTTTTGCATTGTAAGATTCCTTTTGTTTATATTTCTTATTTTTATTAATTCTATTTGCATCTCTCTTTTTCCTATGTTCATTGCAAGATTTAGAAGAAATTGTAATATTATTGTTACATATTTCATCCAATTGGGGCTGTGCCATTTTTCTATCATCATTCTCACTATTATTTGTTTCATCTAATTGAGGCTGTAATTTTTCATTATTTTCATTACTCATTTTACTTGATTGTAATTGTAATTTATCATTTGTATTTTTTATGTCATTACTTATTTCATTCAAAGGTTGTAACATTTTATTACAATCGTTTTCGTTAATTATTTCGTCTAATTGAGATTGTAATGTTTTGCTATCATTGCTAGGGCATGAAACATGTACATTTTTGTTTTCTGCATCTCTGCGATTATATTCATGCAAGTGTAGATTACTTTCAGATTGCTCAGCAACTTTTATTTCTAAATTCTGCGAATCTAAATTTACTTTGAGGATATTGGTATAGTTGCTTTTACAATCTATAGATTCTTCAGAATGATTATGATCTTTCTTCTCTTGATTCATATATAGATTTAATGAATATTCAAACTTTTGTGAATTACTATTTATAGGAATCTCTTTTGTTTTTATATTATTATCATTAATTATATCGTTCGATAAATGAGAGCTACATATGTTTTTCTTCCCGGGGCTTGATGATATGTCTTCTATTGTTTGTTGGCCACTGCTATGTTTTGTAGATTCTTTGTTGTCATCAGTATTGTCAGCATTTATATTTTGTGGCAGATTAATCTCACCAATATTTATTTCATCTCCGGGTATATATTGCTTAGGCTTAGGATTATTAGGCAATATTTGAAAAATTGGTATTTCATCTATTTCCCTCAACCATAGTGGACTCTCCAGCATTTGTTCGAGAAGATAATTGGCTGCCCCATAGCATGATAAACTACAAAAATTTTTCCGTCTGCTAATATCATATACCTTGTTTCTATGTGTCGATATATGATACTGTTGTCGGATAATGACAGTCAATGGTTTTGAACAAAGAACATATCCACACAATTTTATTATCGCTCTCTCTTCTATAACATCTTCCATATGACTTTTACTTATAAACCTTAACTGAAATTAAAAATAATAAAAATAAAAATATTATTGTTAATAAATATCCAAATATAGAGGGACAATATTTGCTGGTGCACTTACATTTTGAAGCAGCCACTCAGAATTTACATTTGGTTCCAAGAGCTGCTCGACTATTGCAAGAGCTTTCGCATCACATTGCTTTTTTTTTATTATAGCTAGCTGTATCTGCGCCTTACTTGAACAAAAATTCAATCCAATTAAATAAAAAGACTTAAAATAAGAAATGTTTCGATACAAGAAAGATTTTTACCTCATCTTCTTAATTTTCTGTTTTTCTTTAGTCGCTGACATCGTTCCAACGTTACTCATAAAATAACCGCTTATTACACCGATTATAACACCACTTAGAAAGTTACAAATTAATTCTCGATTTATTTATTATTTTTTTTTTATAAGAGGGTATTTAACGTACTGTCAACCGAGTAGTTATTTTTCGGTAATTCTCGATTTATGATCAATTGAGGTTAATGTATTCTTTAAGGTCTTCTTCTTCTTTTATGACTGGTTGAGCAATACCATAGACCAGTGCATGCCACGATCTGCACATTTCGGCCGATTTCCGAGAGTCAACGCCTATCGCGCCCCCCTTGCATCTTGAGATCCTCGTCTAGCAACCGTAAAGCCCGTATCAGACTACGCATTGAAGATTGAGATTGAAGATCGAAGATTGAAATTTGACCAATCAGGACAAAGAAATTTTAGTTTTCCTTGTCCTGATTGGTCAAATTTCAAT